TTGCTGCAAGGTAAATATCGTATATGTTTCTGTAATTTTATGTAGCATTTTTCTGTAATTACATATATAAATTCACAACATTGATATGGCCTCTTGTTAGAACTAAACACAACTTCTAATCCTCACAAAGTTCTCAACATAGGTAGGATTACTTGAAATGTTTAGAGTAAGTGACATTATTGAGATCAGGTAAGACTTATTATCCAAAAGTATATTTATGTAAAACAATGTAAAATAGTGAGTATTCCCTATCACTTACTCCTTCCGTCTCACAAAAAGTTCCACAATGGAATCGGCACGGTTATTACGAAAACTAGAATTGTGTGTTTGAAAGTGACACAGAGGAGAGAGCAATGAATAGAATGTGGAACTTTTTTTTTGGGACATGCAAAAAGAGGCAATGAGGAACTTTTTTTATGGGACGGAGGGAGCTTGGTAATAAAAGTTAATGTCTTTATCATGTACATGATCAATGGGTGTAGTAACTTAATTGGACTGATGTTCATTGCTTTGCTGTAGAGGTTCATCCCTTCAGAGTTTGGGATGGATCCTTACAAAACACGGATTTCCAACATGGACAACAACTTCTATTCAAACAAAGCTGAGATTAGGCGTCTTGTGGAAGCCGAAGGCATTCCCTACACATCCATCTGCTGCAACTTCTTCACAAGTTATTTACTCCCATCGCTCATTCAGCCCGGCCTGAAAACCCCTCCCAGAAACAAAGTCACCATATTTGGAGATGGAACTGCTAAAGGTCAGATACGACTGACATTCCATTTTGTCTAGTTTGTGGTTTGAACCTTTGAGCTAAATGTCAGATGCCCTTTCCCAGGTGTCTTTGTAAAAGAGAGTGATGTGGCAGCTTTCACCATCAGTACGGTTGATGATCCGCGCACATTGAACAAAGTGGTATACCTTATGCCTGCAGGAAACGTGTGCTCAATGAACGAGTTGGTTGCGATCTGGGAATCAAAGATTAATAAGAAGCTTGACAAGGAGTATTTATCTGAAGATGAACTCCTAACGAAGATCAAAGGTATATATGCCAATTTGTTGGGGGTAATCCCTGCTCTGTGATTTAACTGCAGTAACTGAAGTTTTTTTTAAAAAGCAGTTTGGTCATTCTCAAGTGTTTTTGAGAGTTTGTTGTTTCGTTTCAGAAACTCCCTACCCGGACAATATGGAGATGGTTTTCATATACTCCGCATTCGTGAAAGGCGACCAGACTTATTTTGACGTTGAATCTGCAGGCGGATTGGAAGGGACCCGACTTTATCCGCATGTAAAATATACCACCGTAAGCGAGTTTCTTGATACTCTCTTGTAAGATGACAGACACAATGCAGTAGATATTGCTTTGGTGCATTTTTCCTTTAGTGCAGTCAGTATATGCCAAAATTTACATTTATGGTGTTTTTGGCAAACCCACATTTCTCGGACATTTTGCTTATCTGAGCTCGCAAATGTCTTAGGATTTGTGAGGAGCTGCAAGCCACTACTGTGTTGTTAGATTTGAACCGGGAAACACATCGTTCAAGTGACAGAGAGTCAAAACAGTTCAATTTTTTTATTTAAAAAATAATCTTTTAACATCCATATATATAGGGCTGTTCACATTTAGGTCCGGACCGAAAAAACCGACCGAACCGGACCGATAGGTCCAGACCGAACCCGGACCGAATGGATTTCGGGTCGCTCTTCGGTCCAGAAAATTTTGGCATTCGGGTTTCGGTCCGGTCCGGTCCAAACCCGAAATGATTTAGGTCCGGACCGATTGNACTAAAACTCTACTTTTTAAATTTCGTATTACACTTTGATGCTCTATTTTAATAAATATTTTAATTTATTTAATTTAAAGTGTTTTTTATTAAGTAATTTTAAAAAAATCTTTAAAAAAAACATTTCATATTTGTTTTTATGGTTCTACATTGAAGTAGTTCATATTGTTTATCCATTTTAAAGCTGTCTATTTTTTTTATTCATTTTCTATTTGAATGGTACAAAGTAAAAAGTCTAAAATATATTTAATTGATCAAAATAATTAAAAAAAATATAATCTTTTCGGTCCAATCGGTCCGGACCGGTTCGGTCCTAAATATTTCGGTCCGATCCGGTCCAAACCCGAATGGATTTAGGTCCGGTCTTCGGTGCAAGAATTTACTCATTTCGGTCTTCGGTCCGGGTCGGTCCGGTTCGGTCCGGTCTTGGACCGATGAACTGCCCTACATATATATAACTAATTACATACTCGGTACTATATATTTTATCCTTTCCAAAGTAAGAACAACACATCTTCTTTAAAGGATGTCTCAAAATATAGTTTATTACGGAGTACCTCTTTACTTCGGGTATGTCTTAGTGTATTTGTCAAGTTTAATTTTTAAAAAACGCATTGTATATTAGCAAAATAAAAAAATATTTTGAATGTGTTTTACAAGACAAAGTCACAAAACTAATGAATTTATTGATGTAATAATATGTACCCCGCAGCACGGAGTACAATTTTTATTTGATATTTTGATTGACAATCAATATTTATATAATTTTTCTGTAAAAGATCGATTTGAATGAATACGCTAAGTCGAACTTAGTATTATGGAAAAAGAATGTTTAACTTTTTTTTTTCAAAACAGATTGTAATCGCACATTTTTTTCCTTTTCAATCTTTTTCTTGATTTAGTGATAGAGAATTTGAATGGGGAAAACTACCATTCATATTCCAATGATAAAACTCTACCCACAAATGTTGGGACATTCACAAGTCTAGGAAAATTAAAAGGAAAACTCATTGATATTGATCTGATTAGAATAAGTTCTGATCTGATCTCAATATAGTTATATTTAAAACCATTTCTAATGTGATCTGTTTCCAATAAAAATAAGTAATAAGTAAAAATAAATAAATTGGAGAGAATATGGCCATAGTCGAACAAACGGAGTAGTAACCTTACAAGTGTTCCAAACACAAATACTCCAAAACTCACTTCACATAGAGTTTAGCGGTTGCAGGCCGAGTTTGCAACCATGTCGGGCATTTTCACTAATACAAAATTTGATACAATTCCTCACTACACATAGTATATCCTCATTCATCAAGACCTTGAACAATTGGAAGACAATCAGGTAGAAATGCATCAAAAAATTGATCCTCAGTCTAATTGTCTTAAAATAAAGTTGAGTATGTAACACAAAATCAAACAATAGTTTGCATTGTCAATGGAGCTACTACATTTTTGCCGACACCGTATATTCAAATCCACATTAACCTAAGTACAAATCCATAGTAAAAGATAAAGTGGCAACCCAAAGCTCTGATTGTGGCCAGAAAATAGTTTAGTCTGCTCTGGGACTGCTGGCACTTGATGCAGATCTTTTCCCACCGTATTTCTGTTAAAGTGAACAAACGAAACCACTGTGAGTAACATATAATATGAAACCATGCCTTCAAAAAATCCAACTGATCATGTGCATGTGATCATAGTAAAATGATACAGTTGTCATCTCACCTGCTTTCCAATGTTAAAAGGCAGGTATCTATACTTGATCATGTGCATGATTTGGCGTTTCATTGTGAGCACAAAGAGAACAATCCAGTAGATCAACAATATTGGCCAAAAGACAGGGACATCGAACATGGAGAAAAAGGTCATGACAAATGCCACACAAAATGCCTTAGTGATGGCATACCTTAAACCATAAAGAAAGAAAGGAGCCACAGAATGTGAGATTGGTCACACATCAAACCACATATTATAACAGTATAACTTTCACAAATTGTTTACCCAAAAAAAAGTGTGACTTTCATATAAATACCAAGAGCAACATACATTTTTTGGCATTTACTTTAATGCTTGACTTGTAAAGAGATTACTACATCACCCTATTGTGTTTAGTGAACAAGCCTATCAATGACTTGCACATGATCAGAAAATCCAATACCCAAAACAAGTTACTCCAACAGCAGAATTAGGAAGTTTAGAAATGAAATAGCTAAGCAAATATAGTATACCAGAACTTGAATTCCGGAAGCCGGCGAATGAATGGCTTGAATTCATCCGAGCCTTTTGTAGGCAGCATAGGACCATCTGAAGGTTCTAGCTCTGGGTCAGTAAGAGGGGACAGAAAACCAATCAGCAAATTCAGTAGGTAGATGCCAAGACCATAGGTGACGATGAAGAATCCTTGGACATAATACACACGCAAAGCATAAAGACATGCTAAGGCAAAGGTCCCAATCCACCTATACAGAGCATGGGGTGTGGTTTTGTCTAAATAATACTGCAAAACCTTTGATATTTCATGCCTCTTTTGGTTCAGTGCAGCAGCAGCTAATGGACCATCACCTTCAATACCCTCCATACTAAAATGTCAATGTTGTAAGCCCCTAAAGACCACAACACATGGTGATTAGTTCATAATATTGGTTCTTTAAGCACACAAAACAAAGAGCAATGAATTTGTAAGTCATCCAGTTATAGACAACTCAAGTAATTCACTGATTCCAAAGAATTTAATACTTTGAATGGTTCAAAAGATGGGAGGTGAAAGGAACTGAAGAAGGGAGGAAAACAAAGCTGTTTTAAAAAAATTATATGTTTGGTTCAATGGATGAGAGAAGGGGAATTGAAGAAGTCGAAGTAATCCACTAATTCTTTACAACAAAAGTAATCCAATAATTCCCATTAATAAAACCCTTGTTAGGTTCCAAAGAGGGAAAAGGATGGGAGGAAAGTGCTTAAAAACCATAGGGTGTTTAGTTCAACGAAAGAGTGAGGAAGACATAATATATAAAAAAATGTAAAGATATTGTACTCTGTATTTGATATGTGCTTAATTGAAATGAAAATTATACATTAGTATTAACCTACATGTAAAACAATAAAAATGGTCCTCCACTTTCCTCCCCATTTTCCCAATTCCTTCAACCAAACACATAAAACTCCTTCACTTCCCTTCAACCCCTCCCCAAGGCTAAGAGACATATTAATTTGGGGGGCACTAATAGAGTGTCCAACTGTCCACTATCAATTCCCAATGTTCCATGGTATTTGGCTTAAAAAGCATTTCACTGTATAATAAAACACAGCTTCAAAGGAGTTTCCTACTCACATAAAGTAAACATATATAGCTGCATTATCAGTTTATCAGTCTAAACAAAAACAATCACACAACATTAGACGGGAAAATGCTTAGGTTCATCAAATCCTGTATCAGGCCAATGCCACTCAAGAAAATGGGAGCACAAATTCAGACTTCAAATTTTCAGTTCATTGCGATTACCAAGCTGATTCAAAACCTCCCCTCCCCAATCTACCGTCACATACATGACTCACACAACGATTCTTCCTCGGAGTCATTAATCGTGCCATAAAAAAACATAGAAACAAACCCTAGCTATATACGCAAGCAACACGAAATCCCTTCGAACTATAACCGAAAAAAAAATCAGATCTACAACTGAGAGAGCGAAGGATTAGACATCACAAATCGAATCTATCCATGAAAGGCGCAGTACCTGATGCGTGTGCACGATACATCTGGGATTTCGCGCATTATATTACAGGAAGCAGAAAGGAAACATTTCAATGGAGTTAAATGAATGCAAGGAAACGGATGAAATAGTTGAAAACATACTCTGCTAAGAACAGGAAGAAGACGAAGAAGAAAGTGTATCTTCTCGGTATAAGTCCCCGCACGATCCTCTCTCAGGCCTCAGCTCAACTGTGTTTTCTTCATCTCTGCAACAGAGGACAGAGAGAGCCGAGAAATTGCAGATTTGAGAATCCATTCCGTATTGTTCATAGCTGGAATATGGGCCGGACTGCTCGCCCAAACCCGCCGGTCCAATCATGTTTTGTGGGCTTTGACAAAAGAAGTTTCAAAAATTTGCATCCTAAATAATAAATATTACTCCGTTGATTTTTTTGAATCAAGTTGGACGAATTTCGGTCATCAGTTACATTACATTTGTGTTACATACTAATATACTAATACAAAAAAATAAATTTCTAAAAATTTTACACAACATGAATCTAATAAAATTATTTTTGTACTAATATATAAGAAAATTTTTATTTAAGTGATGATTATTTTTATTTCAGTTTACTTTGAAAGAGACAAATTAGACGAATATTCTGGAACAAAGATAGTATTTTGGACAAAGAATTAAAACCTGGCCTAGAATTTGTATACTCTGTAATTCCAAAGTATACTCAATTCTATATATAACCATTCTTTATTATTTACACGTTTAAAACTTTAATCACTTTCTATATTTATTCTAATAAATTATTTAAGAAATAATATGGTCTTGTCATTTCTTGTTCGTAAAAAAAATTGATATACTCCAATTTTCAATATACAAATTTAATTTAAAGTTTTATAACGACTTTCATATAAATAGAACTGAAAGCATCATCGATCAAGTATCGCGGCACGTAATAAGCAAGTTTTTTATGACAGAAATGGAGGAAGTATGCATGAGAATAAATGAGGAAAGCTAAAAAACATTTATAGCATCTCTCAAATGAGGCTTGCTAGTAAGTGCGGAGTTTGTCATTAAACATTATAAAATAAAAAAATCCCAATTTAAATACAATAAAAGGTATAAATTGAATTATATTATAAAATAATTTTTAAATATATAATAAAATATATTTATTTGATTATAATGAAAATAATTGTTTTTACTAAATAGGAAAAACTCAAACATCTCTTCTAAGGGTAAAAGTCACACTCACATTGAAAAAACTAAGAAAAATGTTATATGTGATTGCAAAAGAAATTTACATTGAATGATTTTTGATGATTTTTGCTTAGCTATATTCTAGCAAGCTTGTTATATATAGCAAGTTGTTTTCATTTTCAGTAGGGTAGTCAAATCTTGAAGTCTATTTAGAGGGTTTTTGGCACTGTATTGTGGTAATCATTTTATTCTGTTTGGTATATCAATTTCTGTTTTTCTTTACCATCATTTTGTACATAGAACACCATTTCAGAGAAGTAGATATATGATGTTTCTACTTTCCGCTTTTGTATAAATCACTTTACCCGCAAATTAATCACTCGCAAACACCCTCCCTCGGAGAAAGCTTTGTTTACTTGGAGAATTATATCATCAAGAGCCTTTTTACACACAGACAAAATGGATAGAGCCTTAGTATTCTTTATTTTTTATTTTAATAATAATAATAATAACAATCTTAAAGACAAAATCATTGCCTAACACACACACACTATTGAACAGTGGCAAAATGCACCAGACAATGTGCATTCCCCAGTCTTTTTTCCCCTTCTTTTTGTTCTGCTTCTTCTTCTTCTTCTTCACAAAGCTCTGAGAAACTTATGGATCTTTGGTTGTGACTTTGGTCTCCAGGGGAGAAAGAGAAGGAACATACTGTTATAAATTCTTGCATTGCCATCTATCTTCATATTATGATTATATGACAGTTCCATCAGGAATGGTGGCTTTCTCCATTACAATAGTAATCCCTGATCTAATGAAGAACCCTTCATCTCCCCTGTCTGCTTCTTCAACTCCCTGTGTTATCATTATCAAGTGCAAAACATTTCGTGAATTCGTCGAAGTTTAAACAATATTCGTAAACGTTAAAAGATTAATTCTTTCAAGAATGAATAAAAAAGAAGATTGGCTCACATCTGTGTTCATGATGACAACATCTTTCCCAATCCTTGCATTCTTGTCGATGATCGCATTCCTGTGAAGGGAAGGAATCGTTCTTTAGAAATAGCAATGAAAGAAAACATTTTTGTCTGAGTTTTGATGAGATGCATAATATTTCTTTCTTTTCTTTTTTACCTAATCTTTGTGTTTTCTCCAACCCCAATAGGAACCTTTCCATCTGCCAGAAGCGAAGCGATTTCTGATTCCGTTTCGTACTGATCCGCTCCCATCATTAAACTATCCTGATTTAACGAAACAAATCACATTTTAGACTTGTGGCTTTGATGTCTTTATCTATTGTTTGGTTTATTCTTCCACTCCTCATCAAAGGACACTCACTAACCTTCACTTCAACACCACTGTCTAACCGAGAACGTTCCCCAACAATGGAGTGCTCCACGGTGCACTCTCTTAAGAAACACCCGTGGGAGATTATCGCGTCCTTGATCTAAAAAAGAACATTCCCTTATAAGATAAAAACCTTCTAAATGTGTCATTATAATTTTTGGGAATAGAGAGAGGGAGAGATACATGTCACTTGGCAGATTACCTTGCAGTTATCAATTTTGGTTGGCGGTAGGAACCTTGGGGACGTATAGAAAGGTGTCTTTGGATCATAGAACTCAAACTTTGGAGCCTATCACAGAGAATCCAAAGTTATTTTCAAGTTTTGTAATACAATGAGAGTGAAAAAAAGAGTATAATAAAGAAACACCTCTTCAGTAAGGGCTAAGTTAGCATCATAGAAAGATTTTATTGTCCCAATGTCTTCCCAGTAGTCTCTGAAAATGTAAGCCTGCAAAGACACTCTCGTCATGTTAATAATACAAGTGTCCGAGTAGTCGAAATATGTTGTACTATGCATACATTAAAACTCATTTTGTAAATGACAAATTGAATTAAAAAAAACCATTAACCATTTCATACTTGAACATTGTGCTCTGTTACAGCAGCAGGAATAATCTCGGATCCGAAGTCATTGGATGTGGGATACCTCCACTTGAGCAGCCTCAAGAGGACATCTCTCCTAAAGACATAAACTCCCATTGAAGCAATGTAAGGGTTTAACCTGGCATCTTGAGGTGACAATCCCAAGAGAGTAGTATCAGCTTGCTGCCATACAACCAGAAATAATAATCATCATCATCATCATCATCAATCAAATATAAAGTTCCAACGGTTCGAGCAGGGGTAATATGGTCCTAGTTTCCCTACCATTGCTTTCAGATCAGCACCCTTGGGTTTCTCCGAAAACTGGATTACTTTGCCCGTACGGTCAATTCTCACCAGCCCGAAATCCGATGCTCGGCTGAAGAGCGAAAACACAATTTGATTCAATCAACTCGGTCATAATGGGCATAATCAATTATCATATGGAAAGCTTTATACCTATCCCCAGCTGCAGCGCACGAAAGGGTAATATCAGAGTTGCGATCAATGTGATTCTGGACCAAGTCCATGTAATCCATGCGGTAAAGCTGATCGCCGGACAGAATGAGTATATTGTCAACATCCTTGTTCTTGGCATCTTCAAATACCCATGTAAACTGCCTGACAGCATCCGCGGTTCCTTGAAACCACTCCATTCCTGTTTCCCCTTGTGTTTGTGTTGCAGCCAGTACCTGTTTAAAACCATTTCTATCATCACTTTTGTTACTATGTTTGAGCCTAATATGTACTTGTGATCTAAAGCTTAAAAATCAAATTTTTGTCATTCATAGCTGTCAAGAAACCGATTCAACACCCAAAAGATGTGTTTTATGCTCAAGCCTTGCACATGAACATTGATTCTTTAAAAGTGGATGGCCTGTAGATACCATAGCTAACAGTGGAGTACAGAATAAATCATAACAATAAAGAGAGTAGTTTGGGGGATCAAAGAAAAAAATTAACCTCAACAAATCCCTCTCCAAAGCTAACACCATTGCCAAAGTAGGTGCGGGAAATGTGACGATTTAGAGAAGCAGAATTGAATTGTGTGAGCACAAAGATCTTGTTCACTCCACTGTTGATGCAGTTGCTCATCGGGATGTCTATCATCCTATAACACCCTCCAACCGGAACCTGGTAGTTCAATCAATGAACGAAAGAAGGAACAATCATGACATGGTTGAATAAATAACACATTTGAAGTGTGTGTGTGTGTGTGTGTGTAGATGAACTTAATTACAGCAGGAGTAGCAGCTCTGTTGGTGAGAGGGAATAGCTGCGTCCCCGGGCCACCTCCCAGTATGATTGCAGCCACATTTTTAGGATCAGCTCGTCTTCTCTGCCGCCTTGGTGCATCTACAGTCTAAGCATCACAGATCCATAAACTTTCAGCTCTTCTCAACTAAAATTTACTGAACTTAACAACAATAACTGAAAGCTCAAAATCATATGTTTCTCATTATTATTACTCTTAACAAGATTCAATGAATGGTCATTTGTTGGTTCTTGATGTGTACTCTAATAAAATAAAAAACGCAAGAAGATCCATAAATTGAATGAATGGGGACTCATACCACAGTCTCTCTTCCATTTTCTGCGGTTAGAACAGAGAGTGTAACCCCAGCTTTGAACTTCATCTTCCTCTTCCCTTCAAGACTCGAACTTTTCGCGAACTGACCCACAAAGCCATTGCTATTTAGGCTGCCTCTGGTCCTCTCCCCCCAAAACTCGGAACCTCTTGGAAAGTGAGTGGAAGGTTTGAGTGTTGCACAAATGTCCATTGCAGATCACTCTCTACTGCCAAAACAAACCAATAATCAGGCTAATTAAACAGGCAGATTCCATCAGACCATCACAACAATGATATACGTTTGAATTTCAGGAATATGAAATTATGAACCCAGACATTGCCGGGTGAGATCTAAAAAAAACTACAGCAGAAAGACTTGATTTTTACGGATCAAGTACAGATAGTGACCAAGAAAGGGACAATTCTTGATACCCATTAGCAGGAATGTAAGAAATAACAATATATATATATATGTGTGTGTGAAACAATGATTCAGCGCAAGTAGAACCCAAGTGAAGTGGATCATTAAGCAGAACTGTGAACCAAGAAATGTAAAATATAAGCTGAAATTTCGTTTAGAGGAGTGTGAACCTTGAACCAAGAAGATTAAGAAGGTGGTGGTGATGATGATGGGATCTGGCGATGAAGACTTAGAGTGATGATTTTGGTAAAAGCCAAAGATCTATAATAGGGGCAACGGGAGTTTGTTCTATTGAGAGTGAGGAGCCAGTGGAGTGATGGTGGCTCGTGACCTTCTTCTTCTTCAATAGAATTCTTCCATTCTTGCAATATTCTTGTGTGCGTGTATATATATATACAGCCAGCCACCTACTGGCCTCGGCAGTGAAAAGAAGAAATACGGAGTAATAAAAATATGGAAAATCACTGACAGAGAATCACTGTTACAAAAATCAAATACGGAGTAGTAAATAATGGAAAATTCTATTTGTATTCCCCAGCCTGATATTAAATGTAGGTGCAAAACTAGTCTTATGTCCGTGATATTTTTACATTTTGTGTTAGAGTGAATCTTTAGAATACAAAGTGAGGTGAGAGTAGCACAACTCCAATTTATATACTCCCTTCGTCCCAAAATATTTACAACACTTGCTTTTTCAGCAGAAAACTTTTGTTTATTTCTACGTTTTCATTGCTTATTTAATAAAATAAAATATTCTTGTCACCTCTTATTTCAAAAAAAATTCATGTATCTTTTTGGTATGTAAATTTTATTTTTTTTATTTCTATACCAATATGTAAATAAAATGAATTGAAATGAACTGACATGTTACTTCGAGAATATAATTGTGACAAATATTTAAGGACGGATAGAGTAGTACCCAATCAATAAGGACCCTGAAAAATTATACTCCGTATTTGATAGATATGAACTAAATATAGAAAATTCTCAGTTATAAAAAGCTATTTTGAGAATTTACTTTTTTAAACCACTTTGAATATATAAATTAATAAATATAAAAAATTATGATAGAAGTTTATATATACAAATTTAAAATTTGTACAACATAAAAAATAATTTATCAAAAATTTAATTTTTCAATACAAGAGTTATTTTGGAATAGATAGAAATTAAAAATTAACTAGAAATTATTTCAAATAGGAGTGAAACATAATATTTATCCTTAAAATAAGAATTCTATATTTTCCTCAATATACGAGTTTGCATTATGACATAATAACATTGTATAATAATATCTCAATGTATTTTTTGCTACAATATATTGGAATTATTAGCATTATACTCTATGTCGAATATACAAAATATGAAGCTTCTATGTTGTTATAACTTTCAATTTCTTTTTAACTTATACTACCTCATCCCAGTGTATTTGTCCACTTTGACTTTTTTGTGTCAAACTGAACAAATTTTAAACCCCAATTACTTTCAATTTATATTGCATATTCGCATAACGAAATACACTTTTAAAAGTTTTCAATAAGATAAATCCAATAAAGTCATTTTTATGTTAAAATACATTACGGTTTTTATTTAATTGAAACTCAAAATTTTTCTAATTTAACTCAAAAAAGTCAAACTAGACAAATACACTGGGACGGAGGGAGTATATATATTTCAAACTGATTCTCGTATTAAAAAAAACTTGGCAAACTATTTCTATGGTGTACAAACTTTGACTTTTTAAAAATAAACTAGAGTCAAACATTTTTCATATTGATTAATTTTTATATTCAAAGTGATTTAAAAAGTAAATTTTCTAAATAGTCTTTTATAACTTGGTATTTTTCATATATAGTTTATATTTATCAAATATTATGTTCACAGTTCTTACTAATTGGTACCATTATACGTTTAGTCCTTGTCTAATGGCACAGAATGAAAAAATATACGGAAGACCAAACGTGGAATGATATCTAATTAATAAGAACCGTCAACATAATGTTTGATAAATATGAACTAAATATGAAAAATTTCATGTTATAAAAGACTATTTAGAGATTTTACTAAAAAATGAATTTTATGAATGGAGTTTGTGTTGAGAAAAAAGTAAATCACTAATTTATTTCTTTTAAAAAAAATTGGAAAATGAGAATTTTTTTTTAGGAAACGAAGGGAAAACCGCACATTATTTGGGGACGGGTGTGGTGCATATATCTGACGGCTGTAAAGGGAGAAGCGCTTCCCGACGGTCGACATGTTGGCAATCCATGAATTATTGGATAAAACTACTTCTACCCCAACTTTTTGTATAAAAGTTTAACAAAACAAGTAATGATAAAAATATTAAATATTCGGTATTCTGTTATAACTTATAACCAATGAAAAATTAAAAATAAATATAAATTCTCGTTAAATTAGAATAGTGCTCTCGAAAAAAAGATAGGGGAAGGAGGAGTATTATTATTATTACCCGGAGTATTAATTATTGCTACATTACAATCAAGATTCCTGCGCAAGGCCCCACACCCCGCCTTGCTTCTTCAATCTCAGCCGTTCATTTCGCCACATTAATAATTACTCCCTAATAAGGATCATTGGTTTTACTCTCTATTATTAATAATGAGAAATTTACCTAAATAGCACTAAAACATATTGATTTTTCCTAAATAGCACTACATATTTTTTTTTTCTAATATAGCACTTTTAGTCATTATCTATTAGTCATTATTCAAGTAAATGTTTGTCATCAATGGTCATTTTTGATATTATTAAATGATATTTAGAGAAGAAAACAATCTAAGTACTATTTAGAGAAATGATAAAATATTTCATGCTATTTGGTGCAAATATTTCATTATTAATATGGGATGGAAACAATAATAATAATAATAATAATAATAATAATAATAATAATAATAATAATAATGTTATAATGGTGACCCATCCATCCCTTTCGTCGTATGATGATATGATACTATGAATGAAGAAGAAGAAGATTGGAGGGCACATACCCTATACCTAATTAATTCATTAATGTTCCGGAAAGTAATGTATTGTACGGCGTACCCCCGTAGTATATTTGTCCCTACAAATATAATGCTCCATACCATGCATTATTTTTCAAAAAAAAAAAAGATGAGTCCCGGACTCCCTCAGACTCAATCAGACAGTCAATGAGAGAAGGTAAATTTGACTTTCATCACAGATTGATGGTACTTACAGAAGCCTTATGCTTAACATAGTTGCCTCCCAGCGCAGTTGACAGAAATCAAAATCGAGTCTTACCCCTTTGACACGCCATGCCTTGCCAACTGCGCAATGCCCACCGGCATTATTTTTCAAAAAGTATTTTACCTTGATATGAACGAGTGATATTATAGTACACTTTATCGTTAATATGTGTACTTATACATATTTAAAAATTTGGAACTTCTCACATGACTCAAGTGATAGGAAACTCACTCTCCAGAATTTACGAAGAAGTCATTTGTCTTTTTGTGCATAAACACACGGAGTATGAATTAAACAGTTTTCACTTTTGTAGTTTGTACATAGTCAAATTAAGGAAAGCAAAACAAAATGGGGGCAATTAGGCAAAACAAAAAAAAAGGAAGGTGAAGATGGTCGTTCCGGGTTTGTAAGTTAATTTGTACTTTGTGGTGTAGATACAATGCTCCCACGTGATTATTGAGTGATTTATTAATCACTACATGTGATTTTTATTCGTAGGGATGCTAATTAAAGCCTAAATGCATTCTTTAACCCTTTGTTTGGATGAAGTGAGAAAACGAGAGGAAGGAAAATAATATCAGAGAAAATGGTGAGAAAATGAAGAGAAAAAATTTAGTGTTTGGATGGTCAAAAATGGTGAGAAAAGAGAGGGAAAATAGCAATTCTGAGCTGAAAAGGTATCATGCAACTAGGATTTGAAGGTAGTGATTGTGACAATTATACACATAAATTTCTATTTTTTGTTTTAAATTTAGAAAAAAATGTAAGATTTTGTTACATAAAGATTTATATTCAGATTTTTTTAATATAAATTTATTATGTTAGATGTAGAAAAAATATATTTTCTTGAAGCATGACATTCATATTTTCTAATGATTGGATACTCTAATAATAATAATAATAATCTATCTTCTCTATATTGAATACTAAAATATAAATGATTAAATTTTTTCAATTATTGATTATTGTTAAATATTTTTTATCTCTCCTAATTCTATAAGGGCCTATCTCCATTACCTATAGGCTTTTTCCGTTTGATTTAACGCATCAGTGTCACTCTCTGTTTCTTCTAATTAGCACGAAAAATGAAGGCTATTGGTTACTTCGCCGCCCACCGCCCCAAGACAATGCCTTCTTCACCGTTCACCGCCCCACTATCGACGACTAGCCTCATAAATCTTCCCTGGGATGCATTTGCTTCTTCTATCATCTGCATCTACATCGAAATTGCTCAACTTCCATCAGCAACCGCTAGGTAAATATCCCTATTCTTTTCCAGTTATTCCTACAGTATTTTCGGGTAACACTCGTGCCAAGCCCAAAAAAATTTATTCTAGTTCTAATGTATATATGAATTGATTATTTCTATTTCATAAATCTAATAATTCTAGAATAAAAGTTATTCATTGTATTGTAATGTGAATCATTACATTTTCTAAAAGTTATAAAATTAAGCCAATAATTTTAAGTTTAATTTGAATTGAATTTAGATCATATCATATCCAATTAGATTAGATTAGACCAGATCAGATCTAATCAGATTAGATTATACCAGATCAGAACATAAATAAACCAGTTTAGATCAATTAAACAGAACGCAACCTTAGTAACACCTTTTTTATTAGTTAGGAAAATAGATTTTTTAAAAGAAAAATAATTAATTAGGTTTTAGAAAAGAGGAGATCACAATGCAAAATTGCTGAGTTTTCATAAAACCAACACTTCTATCTAGAAATAGAAGAGATTTAACAGAAATGTCAGGGGCTCAAGATTTTGACATTAAATACGCACCAAGACCAATAAAGACATGCTCGGATATTTAATACTCTTTCCGTCTGGAAATATTCTTCCCACTTTCTTGTTTGGTCCGTCCGGAAATATTCTTCCCATTTCCCTTTTAAATATACTTTTTAAGGATAAATTTCAATAATACCCTTCTATTTTATTTCTAATCTACTTTTTTATTGCTTTTTTAATAAGAAAAGGAGATTTAAAAGTTTATAAAATGTGCATTTTTAGAAATTTAGCATTTTTTTACTACTCCTTAATAAGCGTGCCAAGTCAGCCCGGGAAGAATATTCCCGGACGGAGGGAGTGTTTAAGCAAGTACAGATATTAAATGTTTAGGTATGTCTGTATTGACTTTGGTGTGCATTTGATGTCAAAATCTTAGTATTCCCTAACCCTCCTCGAGATTTAATTTTGATATAAATTGATGTCAAGTTTATTTGAATAAGTTTCTGATAATTATATTACAAACGTCCAATACAAATGTTACTTCATATTCGCTATTCAAATAAATTCGCACACAAATATTTCATATCAAGGCCCCATTTGTCCATCAAGGCCTCAACTAATCATAACTCACTCACTACTCATTTTTTTATTCAATTCATATACAATATACGGAGTATATTTTATTTAATTATATATCAAAAATTAAGAATAAATAAATGAAACAAATTAAAATTGGACATAAAACTCCCGAGTTTTGGTCCCAACTAGAAGAAGGCTTCGTTTGGTAACAACGTTTTTTATAAGCGTTAGCGTTTTGGATAAAATTTTAATGGTGTAGATTAAATCTAAAAACGCTATCGCTAAAGGCTACCGTCGGATAGCTTTTTGAAAACGCTAACACTAATCTCTAACGCTGATGCCAAATGGGGCCGAAGTCTCGTATTTAGGCTCTGTTCCGTTCAACTTATTTTTTCGGATCTGATCTGATTTTTTGTAGTTCTGATCTGATTTGATCTGATTGGATCTGATCTGATCTAATCTAATCTGATGGGATCTCATCTGATTAATTATGATTTGATTTAAAATTCAAATCAATAATTTGATTTGAGTTTATAATAACGTTTGAAAATTGTAATGATAATTCATATTACTCCGTATAATATAATCAATATTTTTTATTTTATAATTATTTTTTAATAAAATAAAATTAGTTAATTTATATATTAGAATAATTATTCATATTTTAATGTAATAATATTTTTTATTTTATGATTATTGTTTGTGAAATAAGAATATTGATTTAATAATCTCTCCGTCCCATGAAACATGGGACTTTTGCTTTTTAAGAGGGATTTAAAGGGAGTATATTTTGGTATTGAATTTCCAAAAATGTCCTTTGATGTGATGGGTAAAAGTATGATTTGATGGATAGATTATTAGTAAAAAGGTATGATATGATAGTTAGGGTATGAAAAAGTAAGGGGTAAAAGTGACTTTTTAATAGAAATGAGAAGTGTTTTGTGGGACGGATAAAAAAAGAAAGAAGAAATGTTTCATAAGACGGAGGGAGTATTTTAATAATTAGTTCATACATACATTAGAATAAATATTTAATTTATATAAAATCAATACAGAGAAGAGATAATATTTTTATTAAAATATCTCATCCTTATAAAAAATCAAAACTTTAGAAACTCAAATTGCAGATAGCAATAAAAATGTATTTTAAAAGTAGAATTAGATTAACATTGTCAATGTTTTTTAAAAATAGTTTTTTTGACGTCTAATAATTAAGGATTAATTTCTGAGTTTTTTATTTAACTTGTTTCTAAAGTTTATTTTTTTTCATTTTTAAGAATAATAATAATAATAATAATAATAATAATAATGATAATAACAACAACAACAACAACAACAATAATAATAATTCTTTATGGGATCTGATCTGATTAGATCTGGTCAGATCTGATCTGATTGGATCTGATCTGATTTGTTCTGATCTGATCTGGTCTGATCTGATCTGATTTTAATAAGAATAAGAAAAAATAAGAAAAAATAAGTTGAACGGAACAAGACCTTACTACGTGGCTCCCTCTTTTGTACTCCGTACTATTTTAAAGGCGCATATAGTACGGGCTTACCAAGCTTGCATGAAAGTACCCTATATATATATATATATATATATATATATATATATATATATATATATATATATATATATATATATATATACCCTTGATGTGATAGGTAAAAGTAGGATGTGATGGATAGATTTTTAGAAAAAAGGTATGATGTGATAGGTAGGGTATGAAAAAGTAAGGGGTAAAAGTGGTTTTTTAATAGAAATGTAACAGACTTTACGGGACACAGTTTTTTCTAAATGTAACAAACTTTTTGAGACAAAGGGAGTATAATTTTTAGCCAGGTTTATCGGGATGTGACATTCCCTTAATGCTACTCACCCATCCCAAATTAGGACTCCAAGTTTGACTTGACACCGGGTTTAAAAAGAGTGAAAATGTATGATTGAAAATGCATATTTGTTAGGAAAGAATTCTTAATATCTTACGTTTCTAGATTTATATTGAGAGATGCACTATGATGACCAATAAATGCATTAGTTAACAATGAATCATTAGTGACTTTGTATATGATGAAAAATCTTGGAAAGTGTTGTATTCAAAACATCTGTAATAGAGATATGAGAACTAGTTTGCCTATGTGGGATTTAAACCCACATCCGTAATATATAGATATCGCTCTACCATTTGAGCTAATAGGCAACAATTTGTTTTTTGTAGTGTCTTTCATCTTACATTCAGACGTCTTAATGCACATTTTTATAATTTAAAATAGGCACCATTTAATGTGTCTCTTACCCATATCAAAATGTATCACATAACATTTTAAATGCATCATCCTTTGTATTAGGAAGATTTCATGAGATGCATCAATTTTTGTTTTGAGAATGCATAGTAAAAAGAATCCATTATCTTTTACATTGATTTTGAAAAATGCATTGTGTTCTCATGTTAATGCATTGTGCAGACTAGACTCGTACCCGTGCATTGCACGGCCAGAAAATGAAGTTACAAATTTATGTAAAAGTGTTATTACCACATATAAAAAAATTATTGAAATAAAAATAATAATTACTAACTGTTGTGCATTTCTAAAAAAAGATAAATGAAGGGAATATTATACGGAATAATTCATTAGATATAGAGATGCACAAAAGTATATTCTTGATGATTCCTACCCCAAGACACCCCCGTAACCCCCCCCCCCCACCCCTTCAATTGCACCCCACAAAAAAGTTAGTATTCTTAAAAAGAACTTGTTCAATCACGAATACATTATAGATGGTTTATAAGTTTCCTACTCTATAGAAAAAACTTCAAAAAGATCTCACTCAAATTCGGGCAAATGCAAAATCAAAAGTGAAGTATTTAAAAGAGAATTTCAAATGAAATTCATGTCCAGAGTATGTGTAAGAGCAATGCTAGGGGTACACCAAAGGTGTACCCCATTTGTCCCCCACCCCTTTCTCCACCACTCAATTTAATTTTATTTTTATTTATCTAATTTTTTTTATTCTCTTGCCTTATATGGTTATGGAGGGGGTGGGGGACAAATGGGGTACACCTTTTGGTGTACCCCTAGCATTTTTCTATGTGTAAATGATTGATTGATATCAACCGTTCGAAATTAATAATAGAAGATAAGAAAAAAAAGAACAAACGTATGAAATCATATATGAAAATAATTCCATTGTATCTATTTACACATAAACTAAACATGCAAGAAACCATATAAACAAAAGTACTTGTTTTGTTTATCCAATATTCATCTGCAGAAATAGAAGTATTTGTTTCTGGTGATGCAAGCTGTTTAACCATAACCCATCTCTCCCCCATTCACAATTATCATCCCTTGTAAATTGTTAGCTGGAGGGATCTGAGCAAGGTACATGTCTTCTGCCAGCTCCAGGTTTTGAACTGTTGCCAAGTTACATTACGACGACTGTTTTATTAATTTAAAAATAGCTATTTTCTGCACTGTGCACATTGAATGCTTTTCCTTTTCTTTCTTCCTGGAATGAGAACTCAAATCAGGACCAAATGGAGCGGATATAGTAGCGCACCCATAGGCTTATTGCCAATTTGATACACACTACAACTCAATAAAGGATAAAGCTACTTGTACCCCAACCTTTTGTACCTCACTTTGTACCCCGCAGTTTTGCACCAACATTTTGTGTTGGTGTAAAACTAATTTTTATTAACGCACCAACACTTTGTGTCCGTGTAAATTTTTGTTAACACACCAAGATTTGTGTTGGTGTAAACCATCAGAATGTTTGTGTATAACTGCGGTGTACAAATGGGGTACAATTTTTGGTGTAAATGTAGCATGGTCCCTCAATAAATCATTATGGCAAAAAATGATTTTCAAAGTATTCTTTACATAGCTAAAAAGCCTAAAATGAAAACTTCCAGCCTATGACAATATGTAAAGGGAGCATATATTGAACATGAAAATGCTAAGAAAATAATATCTTTAAATTAGTACCACAGATGAAGTACCTTTTTATATAATGTCTAAATGAAACATTTCTGAAAAATCAGCAGAGAAAACACTCTTTTCATCTCTTTTAGTTGTTAACCTGAAACTTCCAATAAGAAAAATCAGCAAAACCAACTGTAACAATAGCCATTACTTTTAATTAAATATGTTACAATTCAAGCCAAACACCTGGTGCTCATTTAGATTGAAATCATATTTCCATGAGAATGAAGTGTTTTTAGATTTATACGTGTGGCACAGAAACCGAATTACTTAATATGGAGGAAGTTAAATCTCTTCTAGTCTTCTTAATATGGAGGAAGTTAAATCTCTTACATGAGATGCCTAGAAACCGAATTACTTATTTGCCTCTAGAAAAGTGCAGATCCCTCCTTCAACGCTTTCAAGCAACTATGCATGTCAAATTGAAGAGAGGCACAATCATAATTCCTCTTGACCTCTCCTTTTCCTGCTACTTCTTCATTATTTTCCATCATCTTTTTTTATTCTCTGCTGCACAACAGCTTCTTTAACTTCTTAAGAGCATAAAAACCTAAGCAAACCAAATTAATGGAGATTGGTGGCTGCATTTATGCAGGAATTGTATAACACAACCCAAATTAATGAAGCACTACCGTTGGCTTCATGAAGACAATGATGATTTTACGGTGAGAGCTATTTTTACAATGGTGAGAGCCATAATGGGAATCTTATGCGATGCACATTAAGAAATTCTATCAATAATTTATTTACTAATATTTGAAAATAATCAATAACTGCATTATTTTATAAATATATTTCTTAGTTTATACCAAAAAAAATATTTCTTGGGAAGAAATATAGTGTGCTATTGGTGATCTACAACTACAAATCACTGAAGAAAGTAATTATAAAAATTAAAGGAGAACCACCCCTCTATTACCTCTTTGAACCTGAATCTTAAATATCTGGTTACTTCACTTAAGGTGCAAAATTTGAATCTGGGCAGTCTAAAACCATATTCATCTGTGCTAAGTCTAGTCGAAGTCCCAGATCGGTTAATCTCATTGCCGGTTCCATTGGAGAAGGGAATCGAAGGTATGGAAAGTAGCTTCACATTGAATAGTCAATTGAAGCTTTGTCCTTTTAAACTAAAGATGATTTTGGTACTCAGTTAAAAAGTGTGCATACGCAAAGCATAGCTAAAAGAAGAGTCTGGAAGAACAAAAAGTAGTGTGACTG